AGACTGCAGAGAAAGCTGAGTTATTTTTCTAGGCATAATGCCATAATACAAACGTTGAAAGAACCATCGAAACAATACCCAATAGAAAATTACTACAAAATCAAATAATGTACTGTTTAAATCAAATTTAGTGTGTATACAACAAATTAAATAAAAACAATAACAYAAATACGAATACATCATATTAATATTATTTCGTTGCCCAGTTATTTTAAGACGATGATATTTTTTATTCTATGCCGGGGCATAGTTTTTAAATTTTTTTTTTGAAAAYAGAGTTTGAACGATCGAAACTGGTTTGAACTCGAGACACTTGAGTGTAATAATATACTGATCAGTACATTAATCCTACTGAAGCGCTATTGCGTTATAGAATTTTTGATACGTGACAATAATTTTACGTTTTTTTAAATATTAAATTTATAAATTCTTATAAATTCTTAAGTTCCAACTTAACCTRTGAACTTTCTAAAAATGTTATATAGCTTTCCTCGGCTTCCTCGATAAAAGGAAAATCTAACAAATAAACCATTTTTAAATTCGAACCAGTAGTTCCAGAGATTAGCACGTTCGRACTTTTTTAACTYTTCAGCCTTATAATATTAAAACATTCATAATTATTCATAAGTGTTTTGTGTTAAATGGATCACATGAATGTATTGCTGACTGTTGTAGACGCATAGAAAATATTGTCTAACTGAATAAAAGAAAAAGACACTTTCGATTCATATACCTAATATGKTATTCATTATAAAAAACTTACAGAATAATCTGTTTAAAAATGAAATTTAATACTTCAAACTATTAACATAATTATAATGACAAGACTATTTTTATTCAAGAAAAAATGTATAAAGCTATTCATTATTATTTATTAGGTAGGTACCAATAGTTATTTTAGAATTTATGTTTTATACATTTATGAAGGTATTTGTTATAACATGTATGTACTTTTAAGATAATAACTATAAAGTCACACCAATTTAATTTAAYTGTTWAGAGTTTTATAAAATATTTGTCAAAAAAAAAATATACACATATTTTCTAAAACATATTTATACGCATATAAATGATAGATTAATGAATTTTATTGGTTTTTAAATACATTAAATTACAAGTTTTTAAAGTTAAGATGAACAGAGTAACTTACAAACATCTTACTGGTAATCCTGTCACTTAAMAAATCCACTCCAATCATCAAAACTTGAAATGCTTTTACAAAATAAGTTATAAGCTTATAACTAATTGACTGCTTATTGTGAGATTTGATTTCTATAAATCAAAATGCAAATACCTCAAAAAACATTTTGCTTTRGAATGTTAAATTAAAAATGTATGATTTCATTGCAAAAAGTAAAATATTTGCAAAATAATTAATATTTTTTAAAATAATTTGTATCTTTACGTCTTTACGTCGTAAAATCACCCTGTATAATATAGTGGTATGTGTTTGTCATTTACACAATATACCTACCTATTCATGTATCTATACTAATAATTTTTTGAATGCACCATTAAAAAATAGCATTAGAAAGTGAAGGTATAATACAAAAGTAAACATACGTGCAAAAAACGCTTAGTCTTTGAAGACATCAGACGTTAAGGATTTCAAAACATTTTTTTTCATCCTAACATTTAACTGTTTTCATAATCAGCATTCAAATATTAAATATCGTACGCTGAATGTGTCTGATGCCAAGATATATACTACTATTATATCATTATAACTACAACTGAGGTATAATAGGTACTTACTTACCATCATTTATACTATGACACATATTATATTATCCTTTGCACTGTATATTATTTTAATCTGAAGATGATGAATTTTTTAATTGCTAAACTTATAGGTACTTGATAACATTATAAATATTATACATGATATTGAATGATTCTTTTGATTTAAATCATTATTGTTATTTCAAAAGTATTAACTTTTTTGAAAATATTTTTTCACATTTAAATTTTTGACTAACAGAGTACCTAGTGGATTATGGTTTTATGGAGATGCAACATTCCACTTTGCTTKTCTATACTTAGAACACTTGCTATTAAATTAGGTTACAATACATAACTAATAAGTTATGGTTAATTTTAATTAATCGTTAAAATGTAATTTATATTATATTCAGAAAAATATTTAGCTTTGAAAAGATAGGTATAAAATTAAAATATGTTATCATTAGAAAAAAAGTAAAACTTTAAGAATGGTAACGATGAAAATAGTTAAATTAATTTGTATTCAAAAACGTTGTTTTGTAATGAATTCAAATTATACAAAAAATAATACGTTTTGAGTTAATGAGTGTTAACAGTTAAAATAATCACTCAGTGTGTATATTATACACATTACGCACTGTCGTCGTTGCTATAAATGGCGATCACATTTAATAATAAGATGAATTTACAAGGTGAAATCGATTAAAATCTTACTATATGGATATACAAGTCTCATATTATGCTTATGCGCGTTACATGCCGTTAATAAATCGAACTTCGAAACTCTATAGATCGAAATATTCCCAAACAATACYTCCATATATTTATAAACGGAAAACGAGTATTTTATGTTTCTATAATGGAAGGCAATAATTACCAATAGACATGTTATTCCATCATTAGCAATAGGTATATTTGTACCAAGCATCTACATTTCGTTTTTAGTACCTATGAGTAATTAAGAATAACGACATATAATTCTGTCAAATTTATTCGGTGATAGTTGTGGTACAAAATACGAGCGTAGGCATAAGTAATTATATGTTAATTGTATGAGGCCATGTTATACAAAAATATTTCCGTTATGTGAACACGTGTTATTTAATACTTATACAATAGAATATAGGTATTCAGCTTATGATAGTACTCCAAAGTCCAGACTAATTAAATTGATATGTATATTCTTCCTTAATCCTTGGTGATCAAAATAGTAAGATATAATACCTGTTTTCCTAGTTTCAATATTTCATCTAGATGTTATAATATCGATTGAGTAAATTTCAAATTTCAATCTAAATCAAGTCATTGCAAAGCACCTGATGAATCGCATCGACTATTTGAATGATTTGATTAAGAACTCTTGAAGTAACGATGTGACATTATAATAGTTAACAAACCATTTAACCATGACATTTGGTTTGTAGAGAATTTATCCTCAAGTCATTAAAGATTAAACATAATGTTAATACACATTCGATATAAAAATAAAAATGATTTGTTTTTATTTATTCTATTTTAAAATAAAATAATATGTTGGTTTAGGTAAATTATATGTAATCTTTGTTGGGAAGCGAATTTTTATTGTGATTATATTAGCCTAGATTAATATTTTGTCCAATAATTATAAATTGAATTTACACGGCCTGTATAMCATAAACAATCGCACGTTTAAGTTTGATTTTATTTTTTATTTTTTTTTGAATAGTCGTTAAGATATTTTTTGAACGTATTTATTAAATTATTTTGATTTTTGGTTTACTACAAAGAGCCATTGATGACTGTGGTCAAATCGACCGTGAAATATTATGTATATAATATATTTATGTTGGTTATGTTTATCATACTGCACGGTGTCATTTTCATTTTAGGTATTTAGTTTATAACACAACATGACAACTTAACGTAGGTACCTAGTCATGTCTTTTCAACCCTAACGCAATATGTTTAAGGGAGAAAAGGGTTCTGATGATACAAACCCGTATAAATCTTTTTTTATATATATATAATATATATGCGGTATGACGCCGTCTGCAGTATATCAGCAGACCGATGCAGACATGAAATATTATAATAACATAAAATGTGTGTTTACCTTGGATAAGGAAGAAGTGATGTGCGGCGGGGTGGGTGCTGGTGTGGGCTGTTGGCTCCCTCGACCACTGCTAGGCGACGGCGGTGGCGCCGAGTCGGGCGATGAGTCCTCCGAGAAAAGGGTCTCGTTACCGCTATCCATGCTCAATACTCATAACCTGCAGCGGTTCTGGAATGTAACAAAAACAGAATTTTTTTTTTTTTAATTTGTTTCAAGTTTTAGGTAAGTGTAGTTTAAGTATACAATGTGGTCTTGCAGTAGGCATAATATAAAATATTATATATGCCGCAAACAAGCGTTTTTTTTTTTTTGTATAAAATTATTGTATGAGCTTGATATAATAATATGTATATATATATACCCGTATGTTTAGCATACATGTATATTGTATATATTATGATAATGACTATAATATATATACATATATAATATAGAAACGATGTAGCTAGGTATTTACGACACGTCGTTTTGGCTACAGTGGCTATGGAATACACAAAAAAAAAAAAACCGGCAGCGTATATCTACTAAATGCGTACAATAATTGATGGGTACACGTGGAAAATTTAAATATTTTCGTCTATGAAGAATTCACGTTTGCCTTAAAACACTATTATGCCGCCTATCCTCCGATTGCCTATCGCCGCGGCCGTAATGCATTTTCGACCAAAAATGTGTTATTGTCCATCGCCGCAAGAATTCCTTGTATTCGTAAGACATAATACTATATTTATTATAATTGATAATATATAATTTAAAAAGGTATAGCACTATAGTCTGTATGACGTGGAATACTGGAATGTCGTATGATAAACGTGACCGATAGAGTGAAATATATTATTAATGTTATAATATATATTCCTTTAATTCGGACTTTTAATGGAGATACGGATCGTGCAATCGTATAGAGACTTCAATGCGCTGCGTCAACTATAGCTGATAAAAAAAAACTGAGGGAATTTATAGGACTTTCAAAAATTTCCAGCTGATCAGATGATTTAGATCGTTGAATAATATTAGATATGATATTAATTAGTATTAATTAATTAATACTAATTAGTCTGATAAAATTAATTATTTTTAAGAGTTCAAAATTATCTAGTATTTTTAATTAAAAATTATAAATACGTAATTTTTACATAGATTTTCTTGAGTTTAAAATAATAGGTAATATAAGTAGGTATAGCTTATGTTATAAATCTAGAATTTTATATAATATATAAGATAATGAACAAACATTTTAATATTTGATGACAAAAAATAGTGGTTGAGATCTAAGATTGTTATAAAAACCATATTATTAAAAAAATGCATGTTCAATTTTAGCATACTATAATGTTTAATTTTGACTTTCGAGTAAAAATGTATCAGTTGTAGTATTACTATTATAAAACAAATTTACAATTATTACTTTTTTCTCCACCAAAAATAGGTCATATTGATTATTGACCAAGTATTAAATATGTTTTTGTATTGTTAAATTTCCGATATTAGAATATTCTTTTTTATACCTAATTTATAATGAAATAGTTTCAACCAAGGACGAGAAAATAATATTAAATATCAATCTTCTAATATCTTACGTTAATGATTGCTTCTTATAGATAATAATCAATCAGATTCGCGCGTATTTCTCACTCGTTATAATACACGTGGAAAATATATTGTATAATAGAAATCAGAAACGTGCGATGAACGTTGCACACTCGCACGTGCATGTATTATATATAATATATTGATGTAAATATTAAATAATATCAAATACACATTAAATTATATCTAATAATATAATATCAGTATTCAGCAGGCAGTTCGTACTGTATTATAATAATAAAATAATATTATGTACTTTATATGTATTATATATAGTATATACGATAAAAAGATCGATTGTTACAAAGTAGATGTATACGTTGAGATGGATATTATGTGGATCGATTGGAACGAGTTTTCCCTGAGGCTGATAAGGTGAGAGGAGATATTAAATTATGATTAATTCGATTCCGCGCCATATGTACGTATAAGGCGCCCGCGTGCAGTAAATGAACGAATATATTATAAATACTATAATATCGCGCTGGAACCGTTAGAATTATTAAATTATTTTTTTCGGATCTTTCGTTCAACGTGTTAAAATGGAAGTTGTTTCGTTTGAGGTATATTTAATAATAATAATAACATCGCGCATATAGGTACACTGTATACCGTCAGAATATGTATCCAAACACACACACCCACGAATACAAACGATACACTGCAGTATTGTACCGTGCGTTGTGTATTTGTGTGCGAACATTTTTTGCCGAGAAAGCGGACCGTCGTCGTTGTTTTATTTATCCATAGACTGTATATAGTCTGTAGTATAATATAATAAATTTACTATAATATAATACACCACAGTACCACACGCGAGCTAACCACGTACTGTTAAAATAATATGGGTAAGACCTATACATATAATATATACTGCAACTCCGTATTGTGCGAGCATATTACGCTCGCAGCGGTCCAAGTATATATATATGTTATGTATAATAATAATTTAAATGGGTAGGTAGGCGAAAAGAATTCTACGACGTCAATAATCGTTTTTTTTTTTATTTATTTGTTTCCCGTCCCATTATATTACGACTGGGCAAGCAGAGATGACGTTTTCATTAGCGACAACAACTATAAATGTAGATATATTATATATTTATAAAATAACTATTATTCGTACGAATACCTAGGTGACAGTTTTTTTTAACCTTTTTTTCTGCGCGTTCCGTCCAAGAAGATATTTCTATTAAGTAGATACATTTTATTGTATGCTACAATTAGGTACCTAATATACGCATCTACTGCCGTATGTTTTTCCATCATAATTTACCAACAATTAATATCTATAATATAATGCATTATAATAATGATATAATGTGTGAATGTTTATACATTCATAATTATTGATAGTCACAGTCTCTATCTCATCTCCACCATCATTGGAGATTCGGGGACCACGTGTACAATGGAAAATAAATTAAAGATCGACAACAGAATGATGAGTTCAAAACTACCAATTGCTGCGACAGAAATTATACATTATATTCATTATAATTATATAAATTCCATGCGTTTTCATAATTAATATAATGTAAATTGTTTATAATATATTTTTAAATTCTAGCTATTACATATCAGTCATCACTGACGAGTGACTACAGGAAAAGTAGTTAGCATTTCCAAAATAAGTATTATTAAGTATATAATATGTGTCTTATATACTCTTATTGTTATACAAAATATAAAACGGTGCAGATGTACCACTATATATAATATAAATATAAAATACATACGCTTCAAATTGCTATTATTTTTTTTAGTGTCATAGACAGTACATTGAGGTCTTTTGCGCATTTCCATAAAATAATTAACCATCCATCGCAATAATATACATTTTTAATTTTTATTGATTCTTCTAAAATATTCTATTCCTAATAATTCTGTCTAACCATCGCTGGCGAGATCTAATACCCTTGATTGCTTTTTTGATGTATTTTACAAGAGTCTACTTTTTTACTATATTGTTTTACTAATGATAATAACCGTAATACTTGTTAAATTTTAAATTATTTTAAATTTATAAAATTAAACATTCATAACAAAGTATAACTAATAAGTAGGTAACTACTATTATATTATTTATTAAACATCCATAATAATTATCAAGGTATATCATATATTTCATGGTGTAATATGAGAGTAGTAATGTTTAATAAGTATGCTATTAAGACATTGAGTACTAAGTCTTTAACGTATACTACGAGTAGCAGTACAATACACTATATACATTAACATATACACACAATTACAATAACATCGTAAACGAGAAAAAGTATAGGTAAGTACCTATACACATAATATATTTTTTTATCGTATTCCCTCTACTTTAATTACGTGCATAATTTTTTTAAGAGTGTAGAGCAATGATTATATTGTCAAGAATAGTTGTCATCAACTTACTATTACTATTTGGACATGACACCATTTAAAAATTACTTTTGAGATTTTAGATCATAAAACATAATGTTATATTAAATAACACGAGAACGTCGAGAACACTGCAGCTCGTATTTGAGTTGGTACATTACTGCAGTGACGTTTATGTCAGAAAATGTGTTAGTCTCGCACATGCCGCATATGTTATATATGTATATCTATACTATATAGCATATACTACAACAACGGGTTCGTTGTAAACATGTGGTTATACAATATATATGTGTATAATATAGTGTGACCAAATTATTTCAAAATTTGAAGGGGACAAGTCTAGGGCCAAAATTATACCACAAGAGTTTCGACACTCAYACTACATCGATTAGTCCATGTGCACATAATATATTATAAACATAAAYATACGACGCTTCTGTAACACATCCCTAGATATATAGAAGTATAGAGTAATGTGTAGGTACCGGGTTTTAACGACTTTCCAGACTAATAGACGGCGCGTTTGTACACATATATAATATAACCGGTCTCTCGAGTGGGCATAACCTCTACGCTAATTTCACGGCTAATTTGATGTGACGTCATTGAAATCGTTTTTTTTTTCGGGACGTTAAAGTCTCCACCACTACTAAAATTGCGTGCGGTTACCATCAGTGTCAAGGTTGCTGAAATAATCATTTARATTTAGTATTTTATACACGCATTTATTGTAGTGAGCATACCTATTATTCGCGATATTAAAAGTAAAAACTTTCCAAATATTTACTGTATCTATACTGGAAATAGAAAACGGATCAGAAGAAAAAAAATAAAAGTCACGAAACGTTGCGTGTACAATAGGTATATAATACATACAATATGAACACTGCAGCTGACAATGGTCTGTCGTATTCTTCATGTGCAAGTGCGGTGAACACGCAAAACCGTGGTTTATGTTAATATATATATTAAAATCTGATGAAAGCGATTGTTCAAATCGTAAAATTACGATSAGTAAATAYACGAATTTACCTRTGAGCGTGAAGCAAGCAGTATCGCGGATTTAGAAATAACAGAAGGTGACAATGAACAACGATGAAATTAATAATTTTTATGTATAATTCTTACGTACATACATTTCCCGTTTTTCATTAACCGGTCGTTTTGGCATAATATTATGTATTAGTGTATTATTATGTATA